CCCTCCTCCCTCCCGCCTACCTCCTTTCACATCCCGTCTCCCTCCTCTCTCCCGTCATATCATAGTCGTTGTTTTTGTAGAGTAAAGAAGGAACACTGTAAATTGATGTCCCGACAATGAGCTCAACGTTTCTTTCGAAATTAGATGTACATAAACCTTGCACAGCCCTGGACTTGTCTTTGCTATCCTCGTCGTCATTCTCATCCTACTCATTCTTGTCCTCCTCCCCCCTGTCACCCTCCCCTACTCCCCCCTCTTGGCCCCCCTTCTCCCCTCTCCTCCTCTCCCCCTTCCCACCTCTCTGCCTCTCCCTCCCCATCTCTCCGCCTCCCCCTCTCCACTCCTCCCCCCCCCACCCAACCTGCTCTCTCTCGTGCTTGCTCGCTGTCGCTCTTGTACATCCAGCTCATGCATCGAGCAGACCGAAAGCATTGTGAAGTCACTTGTGTGTCTCTGTCTTTCTTTTTAGATCTCTGCTGTTTGTCAGTCCTACTCTGCTGGATTCTCTCTCTCTTGTTTTTTCTTTTCTCTCAACTGACTGCTTGTTGCGGCATTTCTCTCTCTCTCTCTCTCTCTCTCTCTCTCTCTCTCTCTCTCTCTCTCTCTCTCTCTCTCTCTCTCTCTCTCTCTCTCTCTCCCCGTTTGTGCCTTCTGACTGGCTTGTCACCTATACTCAGTTGCAGAAATGAGGAATCTGAATCTTTTGTCCTCCCCAACAAAAGAAAAGAAGACATGGCCATTCATTGGTTATTGGTTACCCTGCTCAATTGCATTCTGCTGGTAGGCACTTCCAAGCCAAAACCATGGGTGTTTATGTTATGCAGGTTGATCTTGTACTTGGTGAACCGTACTATGCTGGATGCGAAGGAGGACTGCTTTGGCTGCTACGGTTTTGGTATGCTTTTTACCTTCCTTCAAATGGATCGTTCTTTCAGGGTTGTCCAAGGAACTTTTCCTCCATATTACCATAAATCTCTCTCTCTCTCTCTCTCTTTCTCTCTCTCTCTCTCTCTCTCTCTCTCTCTCTCTCTCTCTCTCTCTCTCTCTCTCTCTCTCTCTCTCTCT